TTTAATGGTCAATGTTCCACCCAGACAGGATTGTCTGTGATCCATTCTCGATAGGAAATAAGATATCTGACAGTGGCCCTTAGAATTCGGGGTTCTTTGGATCTTGATATTTTGGGTTCTCTTGTATTTGGAGGCCTTCTCCTCCTTCCCCACTAATAAGGACCACATTTAAGCCTTCTAAGATACGTCTACCTGGCAGGTTAGTGGCCACATCAGACACTGGGGGACTAGTAGTACCACTTGTCCCATCTGTGTCTTCCCATTTGTCTTAGATAATAAACACTCAGGAAAGACCTTCTACTCCCATCACTTGAGGTCCTGGTAAGGAGGGACCAATGTGAAGGGACCTCAGTTTGTTTTAGTATAGTGCAGCCTGTGGAACTCGTATGGAGAGGTTAACCTGACTGAAGAGCTGGTCATAATTCCAAGTTATTAAGTGAATGGGAAGGTCTGGTCCTTTTTGTTGTGGCCCTAGTTTTTTTGTTTTGTTTTTGTTTTTGTTTTTCTATTTTGCATCTGTCATTCATCTCTAAACAGGACTTCCCATTGTACAAACAAAGAGGTCTAGAAAGACCTGGGAGTCCAGGAGATTATTATTCCTGAGGCTTTGTAAAATGGACTTTGTCCAGAGGCCATGGAATCTGTCCTCACAGATGACCTGGAACAATTCTTTTATATCTGCTACTGGGAGGGGGTACCAAGCCAGTGGCCTTTACCTCGGTACTTGGATATTCATGGGAAAGGTCTCTAACAGTGGAGGTATCGGGTCTCAGACCATTGTTGCTAAGGCTGCTGCCATTGTGGCTGAGGTGGTTGGGGATAGTTGTTCCTCGAGTCCCTGATGTTGTGTTTTATAAAAAGATAAGAGAAGGAATATGTTTATTGGAGGTGTGGTCAGGTGTAGGGGAAGGGGTTGCCTCTGCAGGCCCATGCTGAGGCATCCCCACCCCCACACCCCCACCCCCACTCAGGGACCAGCCACACAGACAGTATAGTATAGAATAGTTTATTCAGGGCATGGAGAGGGGAGTTTCAAGGGTAGTAGAGATAGAGAAAGGCAGAGAGGGAGAGGGTGGGGAGGAAGAGGGGTAGGGAAGAAGGAAAAGAGAGGGGAGGGGAGGAGAGCCCAGCCATGAGCATGTGGAGAGAGGGGGAAGGGGAATGGAAAGAAAGGAGGAGAGAGAGAGAGAGAATACAAGAGAGAGAGAGAGAGAGAGAGAGAGAGAGAGAGAGAGAATACAAGAGAGAGAGAGAGAGAGGAGAGCAGAGGGAGCAGGGAGCAAGCAGCCCCTTTTATAGTGAGTCACGCACACCTGGCTATTGCCAGGTAACTGTGGGGCAGAGCCTAGACAAAATGCTAACACCGGAGATTGCAAAGTTGTTCAACGGGGATGGCACCATTAATGGTGATGCTGTGGCTGAGAGGAGGGCTTAAGTGTGCGCTCTTGGTGGTTGTGACTTTGAGTTCAGGGAATTTTTTTCTCTGTGATCAGTGAGGGTTCCTGGTCTTTGTTGTCTGGAACCAGCAAGGGCTCATGAGGGGTTGGGGGGAGGTTAAAGAGGCCTAATTAGATTGATTGCCTTCTTTAGGGCAGCTAAGTCAGCCACAGGGCAATGCTGAGGGACTTCCTCCTCATTTGAGTCCTCCTTGTCTCCCTGCGCTTTGGTCTTTAATGGGTCATTTTGGGACTCTGGGGTTTTTCCTATACATTGCCTAATGGCGGCTGTTACAGGGAGGAAGGAGAGGGGCAAAAGACAGCCTTCCTGGACTTACTTTTCTATGAGCCAGGTAGGCAACCTGGGTCCAGACATGAGGTCATGGGGTTGGAGATGTTTGCCAACAAAACCCATGGCACAAATTGAAGCACCTTGTTCCAGAATTCTAGACCTTCCTTTTGGGAGACTTTAAGCCCTCTTGATTTAAGTCAGGCTGTAAGGGAATGGGTTCCGAGGCCCTCTGGGACAAGGCTGAATTCCCCAAAATAGAAAAGAGAAGTGTTGTCAGTGACGTCCAGCTCTCCCAAGGCAGTTCTGCCACCCAGGGTTCGAAAACACTGCAACAAATACAAGCCTGTCTACAGTTTAAGATAATTCCAATAGTCCTAGAGACTTTAAAAATGGTTGCTCTGTTACCAGATTTTTGCACATGAGAGAAAAAAAGGTTATTGGCATTCCTAGTGCAGATGCCAGAGTCCAGAAAGAAGGTAAGAGAACCTTCAGCCAATGTTGGGGAGTTGACCTGACTGAGAGGCTTCAGTTGTCAGCGAACCTGTCTGGTCCCTCTCCTAGGCACAAACTGAAGGTAAAGCATAGAAAGTAAAGTAGGCAACTGATCCTCAGGTCTGGTAGGCAAGGATGCTGCTATCCCTCCGGGGGGCGGGGAGGGAGGCTCACACACTCCGCATGTTCTGGGTCCCTGTTTGGGTGCCAGCTGTGAAGCTCCCTTCTTCCCTGGGGCTGTTGGCTACCGACCCACAAGGACAAAGGAAACAGATTCAAAGAACAGGGTTCAGATGCCCCATGTGTACGACTGACTTCTGGAACCAGCTTCAGTGAGGGAGCTCAACTTTATTCAGGGTAAACAAGAGCTGTATAGTTTTTGGGGAGGTGGGTAGGGATTTTCAGGTTGTGTATATATCATTGGCTTGAGCTTAAGGTACTAAGAATGTCTCATTTGCATGGAAAGGCATTCCAGGAATTCCAAGTGCATGTTGGACAGGTTCTTATAGAAAGAAAAATTGAATTTGTAATCTTGCCAAGAACTACTTGACATTCCTCAAGTAGAGGATGAGGGGTTAGCCTCCCCAGATAAGGTCAAGTAGGTAAGAGGAAGGCCTGTTGGGAAAGGGAGTTCCCCATTTTGCATCTAGCTCAGAGGAGCTATCCCCACACGGTAGACTGCAACCTTAAATAGCAGGGTTTCCCAAGACAAGTTATTCCTTGACCTCTACGTGGGCAGAATGTGCCTTCATTCACATGAATGCTCATGTACCTATATGCTACACACACATACACATGCACGTTTGCTCACACAGTCCCAAACACATCAAGAAAACTTGAGATAGAATCCTCATGACCTATACGTTAAAAAAAGAAGAAAGAAAGAAAGAAAGAAAGAAAGAAAGAAAGAAAGAAAGAAAGAAAGGAAGGAAGGAAGAAAGAAAGGAAGGAAGGAAGGAAGGAAGGAAGGAAGGAAGGAAAGAAGGGAGGGAGAGAGGGAGGGAGGGAGGGAGGGAGGGAGGGAGGGAGGGAGGGAGGGAGGAAGGGAGGAAGGGAGGGAGGGAAGAAAAAGCTAAGTAACTGGAAAGAGGAATTCAAATCTGAAAGAAGGCAATTTACCCACTGAGCCATCTCCCCAGATCCGTGAGATGATCCTTATTAATCTGGAGAACAGAGAGACCCAGTGTGATCATGAGAGTCTTTAAAAGAAACAGACAAGAGTGTCAGACTGAGTTCCTACAAGAAGTGAACAATTTGATTAGCTGCTGTTCTCTTTCAAGAAAGAGCAGAGCTATGGGTGAAGGAGTGTGGATCTTCTGCAGAAAACAAAAACCAAACTCTTCCAGGGCCTCCAAAGGGAAAATGACTTCATTTTCTTTTTAGACCAGCCCACATCTCTGCCTCTAGAATTGTAATAGAGTGAAATTGTGTTGCTAAGTGTGTAATACTTTGTTACGGCAACAGTAGAAAAATTTAGTACTTTCCTCTGGTCTAATTTTCTTCAGTCAGCTGGTTACAGTTGGCACAGATACTCTAGATCTCTGAGATACAAGATGGAAGGGTCCTGTACCTCTAAATCAACAAGCAATGCAAAGTACCTGTTAGTATTTTGTCTAGGCTCCGCCCCACAGTTACCTGGCAACAGTCAGGTGTACCTAACTCACTATAAAAAGGCTGCTTGCACCTCCTCTCTCTCTTGCTCTTGCCTTCTTGCTCCTGCTCTGTCCTCTCATTCCTTCCCCCTCTCTCCCCACGTGCTCATGGCTGGCCTCTACTTCTCTCCTTCTCTTCTCTTCTTTCTCTTCTCTTCTCTTCTCTTCTCTTCTCTTCTCTTCTCTTCTCTT